TTCCCTATCACAGAAACATACAAAACTGACTGAAATGTTCCATTGCACCAGAAATCCAGAATTTCCAAACACAGATCAAAGTAAAAAAAACCCATGACAAAAAACTCATGACAAAAAACTAGTACTTCAAACTGGGAAACTACATTTATTACTTGCAACCTGTAACACAAATTCCTCCCACCAATGTGTACTTGTACTGTTGCAACATTTGAATAGGCAGTATTAGCAGGAATACATAAAAGATACAGGCAAGACCACAGTCAATATTTGATGCCAAAACAATTAGACCTTTATGGATATTCTCATTTGTTAGACTTGAGTATACTACCTTCACAGTAAAATTAAGCATTAAACAGTCAGGATGGGCTTCTGCCAACTTGTAAAAGAGATCTCTCCACGTAGTATGTGCTATCATTTGCTCAAGCCAGGCTGGAGTCTGAAAAGATTAGAGCAATAGAGAGAAATGTAAGACTATCTATTTGTCAAGATCATTAAAAGTAAGCCTTTTACCTCTCAGGAGTCCTGTAAGTTGTTATACAGAACTTTATTACAAAGGAGGATGCATTCAAAGTTTCCAAGTTCTCTAAGCCTCTGAGGACACCAGGAAGATACAGCTGGTTTTCTGAAACCAGTTGTGTCTTAACCAAAGAGTTTTGAAGCTACAGTTTCCCTTCCCCCACCATCTACTACTCCATCAGATGAAGGCATCTATGTAGGATCCACTCATGTAGAGATAGCAACACGGATTCCATGCACACCTCTCCTTCCTCTGTAAAGATGGAATCTGCTTTCCGAGGGTCAAAATGCTTGATAAGTAAGCTCTTTAAATGGTTTTCTACAGTCTCCTGAACTTGCACTGGCTCAACACCTGTATAGAAGGAACAAAAAACTTGGCAGATGCAATCCAATCAAACATAGCCACAACATCTTAAATTTTTCAACAAGAACAGAAACTACTGATAAATTTATCAACACGCAGAGGATGAGGGGAGAGCCATCCTTTCTACTATCAAGCCACACTGATACAGACAGATTTACAGATTGTCAATCTTTTTTCCTAAATGGGGACTGTTTAGGATCACAGGCAGGTCACACTAGTCCTTTTCTCTTCATCAGTCATGGAAACAGCAATGCCAGTCATCTCACAAGACTGTTACTGGCACGATACCAAAACACACATATCTTAAACACAAAAGGGATTACCAGGGTTAGTGCACAAACGCACCTTACTACAGACTAGAGTCCATCCTTTTAATACATTGGCTATCAGTAGGTTTGATAGCATACTACACAACAATTCACAAAATAGTAATACTGTTCTACTCTACATTTCTGAGATCAGAATATAATAATTCTGGTAAGTTGTAAACAAAAGTTTGTGTCAGGTAAGGGACAAAAGATACCACATGATAATGCTAAACATGTCTTGCAAGAGGCTGCTGAAGAATTCACAAGCAGACTGGTAATACAAAATTCTTGTCTCAGAGAATACGGGCATCCATATGAGAACCTTCCATCTAACCCACTGAAAGGGAAGAGTAACTAGTAATAAGGCAATGGGTTTTTTGATATTAATTATATAATACTATTACAAAATATCAAATATTGCTAACACCATCTATGTAAGTACCCATGCCCTTGTGAAGGAAAACAAAAAGAAACTACAGTTTATGCAGTTGCTTCAATTATATTACACTTTATAATACAGTTTGTGGGCATTTCAAAATGCTTCCCTTATTCTCCGAGCAGAATAAACATAATGTTATAAAGAATTTAGTCACAAGATGACAACTTTATAATGATCCACTGAGTATGATCAAGTTTGCCACCAATTCAGATATTTCTGACAAAAGAGAGACTACAGACCCAAACTATACTGTATCACTTATCATACCTGTTTGAATGAGCCACTCTGCCAGCAAATTTACAGTCTGTGCCACTGCAGTGTAGTTTTCAGAGAGGAGCTGGATAACATTCTCTGGAGAACCTCCTGCTTGGAAATATCTGATGAAAGGATTGGAAAAGAACTAGTTGAAAGCCATATTAAAAACCAAAACCAACTGAACTCTACATGAAGGGAAAACAAGAGCATCATATATACATTTTCACACACACTTGCACACAAAGTGACAACACTGTGCCCGTAACACACATAAGGTTACACTCACCTCTTTAACGTGTTAAATATAGATGGCTCCATTATATAGTCTGGGGTTGAAAATTTCTTCAGGCATTCTTGCTGGACTTCAGCATCATCTTCTCCCTCCCCATCCTCCTCGTCTTGCTATTCACAAGCACAGCCAAGTCAGCCACCCTTCTTGCCCCGTTTCCCCCCCATACGCCCATATTTAGACTATAGCTGCTCGCAGAAACTCACACACCGCAGTTTACCACAGCAAACGACCTGCTCCCCAGACAAACACAAATCCTTAACAGCGAAGGCACAAACCCGAGCTCTGTCTCGCAGACGTTTTCTTCCCTTTAACTCGCTCAAGCCCCAGGCCCCACCACAGGGCAGACTTCCCCGCCCGCCTTCACGCTCGGCGCTTTTCGCCTCAGCTCGGAGCTCCAGACGTGGCTCCCGCAGGGCGAGAGGGCCCCGAGAGCTCCTCCGAGACCCACCCGGGGAGCAGGCGGCGTCCCTCAGGAGAAGCTGTCCGGAGCTGCGCGCAGGGAGAGCGCTCCCCCTCACAGGC